TTATCGAAAAATGATGAGTATCCAGTATCCTGCAACTCCTCATCATTTTTTGAATACTGGATTTTTTCCCTGTATTCCCCGTAGGTCTTGAGAACATTCGCTAGGGAGTTGCACTAGATGAGATGGTAGTTTTATGGAAAAGAGACATTCCAATCTAATAGCGTCAAGAGGCAATAGATGCGTCTTGGGATGGTGCAAAAACTTGCTTTTAGGGCTTACTGAGTCCCTGGGACAGGCTTGACGCTGACCTGGATATCGGTTAATTAGCCGATGCACTGGAAAATAGGCGACTTGTAGGCGAAATGGTGGCGCCTTAGATTTTTACGAGAGGAAGAGTGGCCCTCTTCTGCTGCTGCCTCGAAGTGGTTTAGTAGAGGGTTTATTCACCGTTCGTCTCAACAATAATAACACGAGTGACTTGCGCCTGCGCCAGAAGAGGTCGCACTCAAAAGGCTGACACGGAAAGGGAAGAAAGGGTGCTGAGAGGTTCTGGTATGCGCCAGAACATCGAGTTTGGTTTAGGTCAACTACTAAGTTATCAAGCTCCCTTCGTCCGAGTTTTTCTGGAGAACCGTTAATGCATCTTTCTGAAGTCGCAACAGCTTTGAACTTGCGTGCTTGCTATAGTTAAAAAATGAATGTGAATCTTGAATGCTTGCTTTCGGCCAATCGGAGAGTATGCACTGCTACAAGCAGCGAATCAGAAAAAAACACTACTGAACTAAACCTAATGGCCCAAAATCATACACTGAAAGCGTGTTAAAGTGTTGAACTACGTTGCTGGGGTGAGGGGGGGGGGGGGGAGGCTCGGTTAAGCGAGGACGCTTACTATGTGAAAATCTACTTTGTCGATTTTATTGTTTTCAAAATTCTTTAAGCTACGGGACCAGTATCTGGCATGGGAATGAGGATGCTGATTAGGACCGGCTTTACCAGGTAAGTCGGCATAACTATGGTTGCTCTATTCGATGAATCAACCAAATCTTTTCAAAATTCGACGTTCAATGTTTGAATATAATCGATAATCTTTCATTCGATGTATTTAATTTGCAAGTTTTATTCGGGATTTTATTCAGTGTAAGGCCCCGGACAGACTTCACGCGATTTGATCGTCGCGACTCAATCGCCGACATTTCCATTCATTTTCATTTCACATTCAAAAGTTTCGGGCTGGAAAAGTATCACAACCGAAATGCAAGTTGATCGGCATGGAATGATGTTGTAACAGTTGTCTCGTCGCGATTCAGTCGCGACGATCAAATCGCGTGAAGTCTGTCCGGGGCCTAACAGGCATCATTTGAGAAGTTGATAGCGGACTCAACTGTGTAATCCGCTGCAAATGCATTCTGAGGGGAAAAATTGCTTTGGACGAAAATAGGAACGATATCCAGGTTGCCCCGTAAGCCACCTGTGCCGACCCAGGGCTCGGCACAGGTGGCTTACGGGGCAAGCTCGATATCGTTCTGGAATAAAAAGCAAAGGGGATATCGTTGGAGCGGAAACTCCAGCCCCTCCCCCTTCCCACACAATCGCCTTCTGCCTTTATGTCACCCATCTTCTACAGAAGACGCAAACTATCATTTCTGCCCTATCGATTTGCAAAAACCAAAAATTTCCTGTTTCAACATGTTCGCCGCTTGAGCGCGCGAATTTAAACCTGTCTCGAAATAAACAAAAAACCTGTTTATAGCGAAGAGAAAATGGACACCAAAATGGTGTGTGGATAGGCAATAGGGAGTTAGGACTATCGAAAAATTGTGAAAACATTATGTGAACTGAAGGCGTGGCAAACTTTTTCCGGATTTAGATGGCTTTCCACCCACCTGGACAGCCACCTGAGGTGGCTGTGAAAAGAAAAAGTCATATTTTCCTTCCTTGACATAATTTTTTCACTGTTTAACATAACCTTGTTCTACATCAAAAACCCTACAACAGAGTTTTTGAATCTCCCTAAACTCCCTCTTCCTCGCTTAGTACAGCCCTCCAAATATCTCGCGTGGCTGCGGCAAGCCTCCTAAGCGCGCAAGAGTGCGCGCCGGACACTATTCACCGCCAATTCTGAGAATACAAGCATCTTTAGTTCTTTTTCGTCTATTCAATGCTGTTTTTATGGTTGGTTGAATTATTTTTCGTTATTCAATTTGATCCATTCATGATCGATCTTAGGTGATGTCGTATTCTTGTGGAGAAGTTTAAAGGACTTCGTTTTTGAAAAATTGAAAAATACTCCTCATGCCGAGCCCTGATCCGACCATGTTGGAGCACCGCCCCTGAATCGGAGAAATGCCCACTAATCGGTGGGCATTTCTCTTATTAAGCCCATTCATTCTCGCTCATCCACCCGCCGTTTTGAAGACCGCCGGTTTACCGGAAGGGTTTTCAAACACCATTCACTTTGCTCAAGAGATCTAAGTACGCGTAGATAAATAGAAGTGACCTTCACCTACTCAGGCAAAAGTGCCGGATGAGCGGCGCGCCACCATAGAAGTTTCGGACGAGCGGCCACACCGGCCGAGCGCATTCTGTCACCGGGCGAGCGGTCACAATCACCGTCTAGCGGCCATCAATCAATCGGCCGGGCTGGACGCCCCACTCGAAAGATGCTGGGCGAACGCTTACAACCACCGGCCGAGCGGCATTATTGACGGGGCCTACAACTGAAGTGCGCAAACTATCTCATGTTTTGACATGACAATTTTCATTTCATTATCTTTAGATACAAAGGTACTGCTTATTTTGTTGAGCAACGGAGTTGAAACGGCATGCCATATTTGCCGCAATTATAGATGTGAGTTTTTCATTTTACTTTTCTATCAAGAAGGGCTCAGACAACGCCCTTCTTCGCAATCAGATAACAAATATAGGTTAAAAAAATCAAAGAATCGAAGTCTGGTTAATTTTAACGCCAGTTCACGCCATATACCTCAGTTGTCAGATACAGTTTCTGAGAATATTGAAGTAGCTTTCGCAGATCTCTCCATCGAAAGGATTTGCAGCATAATTATTTTTGATAATTCAGTTGTCTACAGAGGGCCTGCCGGAGATTGAAGTGGTTTTCGTTTCTTTGAAGGAAAATGAAAACAACGAAAACAAAAACATAGAATCTAGATATGATTTTTGAAACGGATATAACTATTTCATTATATCAATCTATATATGATGTGAGCGACTTACAACTCAGATTTTATGTTTTGATTAACAATACTATAACAGGAATTTGTGCAGTCTGAGGCTGCACTAATTAGTGCAACAGTTTTGAAATGAAGGTTAATCAGTTGGAAGGACCACACGGAAGAGATGAGACTGAATAGCATAGTTAATTTTTTTAGCGATGAAAAGCTTCCATCATGGCTTATGCGAACTGGTCCATATATTGATAACCAGATGTAGAGTAAGATTCAATGTGCCAAGTTTGATATTTTGTCACGAATGGTAAAAGCGGGTGAACGTAAATGGGTTCTTAAAACACGGAAATCTGACACAATGTCATTGGAACTGCACACGTGAATGGACACTAAACGGACCTTCACCATCTGTAACGGTAACATAATAACGAAGCAGGAGAGCACAGCACTTTCCAGGGTTCTCTAAGTCGGATAGCCGTTAACTTTCAACAAAGGATTCTGACGCGCAATCCAAAATATTCACGAGGTTCTGCAGGTATTTGGTTCTGAAGTTATCCATGAGCTATAACTTGTCTGTTCTCGTAGTGTCACTAAAACAGATCACAGACCAGCGCAATGCATATAAGAATACTTCCTGAGGTTGAATGGAAAGAGTGGTCGTGACTTAAAGCTGAAAAATTTGCCACCAACAGCTGAAACTAACTACGGTCCTGAATAAAGATTTTGCCAAACAGAATCCTTGATTACGGCTTTCTGGTCAGGACTTCGGCGGCGATCGGCCACGGTCATACGCTTTTGAAAGTTACGGCCCAATACTGATAGATCAGGGTTAAAGGTAATAGGTCGGCAAATCTCAACCTAGTCAAATTTTCGCTTACCTGGGGTTATTTAATACGCTGATCACACAAACCCACTTTAGAGAGCTCGAAAACGGCGAAAACGAGCGTTTTTCAACCCCCTTCCCTTCAAGATTGGACCACAATTGTCGTAAACAAATTGTCCGAAACCCTTATGAACATTTTTTTAAAATCCAAGATCATCAGCATTCTAGGCAAAACCCATCGGCCAGCTTCAGAGCTTGAGACGAGAAAAAAATCGAGTAATCCGAACTTCTTGGAAAACCTGCTCATAAAGATTATCTGTTATCTGACTTGATCATGAAAATCAAAAGTGCTTAACAAATAGCTTCGTATTTCAGCGTTACGTGAGCAGTTCGAAAGACAAATTTTTTTCAAATTTCAGGGTTTTTTCAATTTCATCAGCTCTAAAATCTCTTCCAAAAAAACTCTCTAAATATTTCTTAACGATTGCTAATCTACCGAAGCTCATCAAATCGATTTTACTGGGGCATTCTATTTGTGATGTGCGTTTATAGCCTTGCGACGACATGTCCGCAACTAAGAGAAAAAGAATGGAATATCAAGTTAATGAGATATATCACAAGATTCTGTTGATGTTTGAAGCAAATCGCTTTTTTTCTCAGTCTCCGTACTTCATTTCTAAAGAAGGCGTTGCGTTTTGCGCGATTCGTATGATTTCGCGGAATCTCCAGAATGTCGCGCGATCAACCGAATGCCGCAAATGTCGCAAACGCAGCATTCTTGGAAATTTTACGTTCTAGAGTAACGTAGCCTTTACGAGGTGTCAGGAAAAGTGGGAATCAAATCGGTTGCAGGTCATTTACAATTATTGTTAACAAATCGCACTCACCTTCATCAGGCCTGAATTTTCCCGCGAAGCAACAATACCAGCTAACTGTGTAAGGTTGTATATTCCACAAATTTAGCTTGAAAAGGTGATTACAACACGGAAGCGACAGACAGACTTTGCAGTTCTGACAATGGTAACCAACGGAAATCCTTCTATGTCAAAAGCTTACGAACTTGCTGGATCCGAGTCAATAACTTTTGTAATATAGTACAGATTGTATGCTGCAATCCACAGATCGTAGAAGCAAACCTAAAATATGAAAGCTGTCACATCTCATGACATACTACTGTGGCTAATCGTTTTCAATATCTATTAATGTATACCTAGTCTAATATCGATTAGAGAATCTTTCCAAGCATTCTGCAAGAAAACGTCATATGGCATTTGAAAACAAAGCGTAGATCTTTCACACGTCTATCAAAGGCACCGTCCACCCAAAATCTCAAATTCAATGTTTTTGTCGCCTCAGGCCCTCTGAAAGCCCTAATTCCGAATATGGAGTCGAAAGTCCGCAAAACCCCCAAGAATCCCTGCTTCGAGAACCCTCTGCAACAAGCGCAGGCGAGATAAAGCATGCAAGTGGGCGGAACGACCATGGTCGCCCCGGCTACTTTGCTACTTCCGGAGCGGTTTTCTCGCTCAGAAGCAGTCTTTTGCGGCGAAGCTTGGGGGTTTGCCTAGTGTGGGGGCCCACACTAGTATGCCATCATAATCTCGCCAACCTCTATTTTGGATGGACGATGCCTTTAAGAAAATGAAAAAAAGTACCAGAACTAACGCTTGATATTTCAAGTGTAAGAAGTTTATCTACTATGGAGCTTTCCAATGGAGTACAACCGCTTCTCGGTGGTTCAGATAATAAAGGATCGAGTATCTAAATTATGAATTAATGGTGACGAAAGCAAAAAAAAGATTTTACTTACAGCAAGCAATATAAGGGCTATGTTCATTGATGTTTGGAAATCTGTTCTGCTGTTTGGGTTATTTATGACATCTGACACGATCTGCAGGTACTTCCAAACGTCGCTCTGCAATTCAACAGCGCTGACCTTGCATCAGTACATCAATCTTTTGAAAATTCAATCGCCTATAGAATGCTCGTCACGAATAACAGAAACATTCCATTTTGCAAAAATTTTTGTGCTCTGCTTACAAAGTACTGATGGCTTCAAAACTGATATCAGCAACATTTGAGATTTTGAACGTTGAAGGGAGTGTCCGGGCAGAAAGTCGATTTTGAGATTTTGTGCTTGCCCAAGCCTTATTCGCTCTGCTGAATCCGAAAATTCATAACGGAGACTACGAAAACGGCAAAAAAGGACACTAAAACAGGAAGGAAATCAGAGGTGGGCGGGGTTCTTCCAGCTGTGAATTGACGCTCCCAGCTTCCGGAGCGATCTTCTTAGTACCGTTTTCAAGTCAAGCGTTTGCACTTGGCCGGTGGAGTTGTCAGGGCGGCTAGCCCTGACAACTCCAGCGGCTAGCCCTGACAACTCCACCGGCCAAGTGCAAGCGGAAATCGAGAAGATCGCTCCGAAAGCTTGGAGTTTAAATTCACAGTGGGGAAAACCTCGCCCACATCCTGATTCCCCTTCTGCGTTAGGCCGTTTCCGTTTCCGTTCGGCCGATTAGCCGTTTTCGCGCTTTTTAGTGTGGCTTTTCGGATCCAGCATAGCGAAAGGTCCGGGTAAGCACAAAATCTCAATATCGACTTTTGGCCGGGCACTGCCTTTCACGGCTTCTGTCATATACATTAGAATTTCCTGTGCGTTTTCTGATTCTTTATTAAGAAGTATCTGTTGCAAGTCTCCTTTCTATTTTCGAGAGTTCCGTACTCAGAAGTTGCGAAATTGTGATAGGAAGTTCTAAAAAAAAACTTCTTTTGAAGTAGCAAGCCGATAGGTTCGTAACTCATTCGCTTGTTGGTTTTTGTTTTTGATTCTAAGCTAGCTCTGTTTAAGCGAATATCCGGCACTCCACGATTGCGTCAAAACAAAAGATAAACAACGAATTGTTCTCAAATCAAATTAACCAGTGAATGACCTAGCCATTTAACGACTGGTGCTCTAATTAGCTGTAGTTGCTTTGCATGAAAAAGTGCTTGTGCAAGTGCAAAGGTTGTATCGAATTTTCATGGTATGTTTACTTTGTCAGAACATTCATGGATGATTTCCACAGTTATCGTGATCGAACTAGAAGGTATTGATAAATGAAATTTTTCTGCTCTTGTTTGATTTTCTTCCCAAAAGCTTCGATAAGACACTTACGTTCTCGTACATTAAGGTTACAAGCTTTGAGGGAATTATTCGAAACGTCTCACAATACATGCGAAAAACTTCCAGACCTTGACGAAATTTCTTTATGGAACTGATAATTCTTAGGAGATTTCAGCTGCAGATAATAATGATACTTGCGTGATATTATATCACACGTTGAATACATTTGAGAAAGGGAAAAACCATCCTCGGAAAGGGTCTTCTTAGCTCCTTCGACCCGCGACTGATTTGGGCTCAACGACATGCCCAGAACAAAAAATAATAAAAAGATGTCTGGTTTAAAGTAATCCAAGGATTACTCGCACCTTGAACATTGGCATAATTGAAGCATATTGCTCAGCTTTTTCTATACCACGACAGGTTATACAGCGACAATTTATTGTAAATCACGTTTCGACGGAAACGCCGTCCTCAGAGGTCAGACTCACTTTCAGGCTTCTAGCTAACCCCAAAAAATCTGTAAAAAAAATATTTACATAGCATTAGTTCCTGCTTCACTGTGGCAGGCTTCAATCTCGTACGAAAATGAAACAAAAAATCAAAAAATGCCAATGAACAGGGAAATTCCTCTTATTGCTGCACTTTTTGAAAACGCTGTGTGACGCTTAATAACTTCACAGCCATCTAGTTGAGCACTAGCCCCACTCTCTGGTCCCGAACTGCATTTCTGGGAAAAACTACAACAATAAAAGGTTTTATTTTGTGAAATGAGATCTTTGAATTAGAGAATTAGATGTTGAAATGATTTTCATTTTGTTTCTATCTCTAGTTTGTTTCTATTTTTTGCATTCCTAATCGAGATTAAAGCATGCCACAGTATGATATCGACTACTCCTATGCAAGAAATTCTTATATTTTTTGGTCTAGCTAGAGGCCCTCCGCCATTTTCTAGCATCAAACTACAGTTGATATTGAAACGCCATTTTTGGAAGCTTCGTTTTCAGTTACAAGCTTATAGAAAGTTACTCAACATCTATCATAGAACGCAAGCCTTCAACTCTAAAAAAACACATTGTTCAATGTTCAGGGCTTAGAAACTTACTGAAATTTTGTTTTTTCTTTTTGAGCCATACACGAGATTGGTACTTGATTTATTCAATTCACGGCTATCGTTTCGGCAGATCGCCTTCGTCAGAGCCTTTAAGGAACAATACGATCCGCAGCCGATTCGAACAAGCCTTACAGCTGAACAGGCGAAATCCTGAACCTTGTTTCAACCACTGATTCAGCTGCACTCGAGCACGTACCTTCTGCATACGACGATACTACTCTGCTAGAGGGAAGTGGAGGTTCACGTCGTCCGCTGGGAAGATGGACTTGTTAGACGTGTATGCAGACCGCTATTTATATACACCAGATCAAAATAACTGATCTAGATAGGGCGAGAGTTCAAGCGTAATTGCTAAGTTTTCCTCCTTCCGATTCATTTTGGGGCTTTTTGCATGATCCAAAACGCCTCTACATACTTACGTGCTTGCGTTTAGGACTCATAGGCCAAGATTCTCACTGAAATTTCAAAGTTCGTTCCTGCATGCTGTACTACCCTGTGGGTCCTAGGGGTGTTGATGTACGTGCTTTATCTCTGCCGTCTAGATGCTCTTTAATACGGATACATAGTGGACGCGCTTTTTCACCAATGTATTCGTCGCCGCAAATCGCGCATGAAATCAAGTAGATGACTCCACCTGCCATGCAGTCCCCTTCTCTGCTTGCAGGGCAGATTATGCAATTCGGGCTAACGCAGTTGCGATCATATAAGCGATTGCGAACTAGGATGGTCTTCAAGTTATTCAACAATCGTAACCAGATCTTCAAATCCTACTCTTTTCAAACATTGCGACATTGTTTGAAAAGAGTAGGATTTGAAGATCTAATTACAACTGTTGAATTACCGCCGAATAACTTGAAGACCATCCTAGTTCGCAATCGCTTGTATGATCGCAAGTGCGTTAGCCCGAATTGCATAATCTGCCCTGCAAGCAAAGAAGGGGACTGCATGGCAGCTGGAGTCATCTACTTGATTTCATGCGCGATTTGCGGCGACGAATACATTGGTGAAACAGCGCGTCAACTACGTATCCGTATTAAAGAGCATCTAGACGGCAGAGATAAAGCACGTACATCAACACTCCTAGGCACCCACAGGGTAGTACAGCATGCAGGAACGAACTTTGAAATTTCAGTGAGAATCTTGGCCTATGAGTCCCAAACGCAAGCATGTAAGTGTCTAGGGGCGTTTTGGATTCATGCAAAAAGCCCCAAAATGAATCGGAAGGAGGAAAACTTAGCAATTACGCAAGAACTCTCGCCCTATCTAGATCAGTTATTTTGATCTGGTGTACATAAATAGCGGTAGCTATAAATAGGTAATAAATAGCTTTAGACAATTACGAGAACGTTACAAAAACAGTGACACCTTTTCCTCCTCTTTCTAGCAAACTGACTGATTACATTTGTGTTCACTAAAACGAGCGCCAAAAATTTGATTTCAAAATGCTCACCATGTCCGATTTCGGCATACTTTCAGATTTTGACAGAAAATCAAGAAAAAGCTTTTCAAGATTGCACAGAGTAAACGAACTACAACACTGCATTCTTGGGCCTCTCTTGACTTTGCAAAATTTCCAAAATTATTCTTTTGAGGTCATCAAACTCCATATTTGGTTAACTCCTCATCAAATATCGACCGGCGAGTAGCAGCTATTCGAAGCAACATTTACTCCTCTTGTAGACTTTTTTCTTTCCGATTTGTGATCAGGAATAAAATCAATACAAGTCTTTTGAAAGCGTCCCAGGATTTACCTCGAAGATTTAAATTTGATATTCCAAGCGATAGACGCTCATCTTATATATAAAGCTGAATATCTGTTCGTATGTATTTCTGTATGTGTGTACGTATGTTCTGCGTAGAAAATTCCATTTTTGAACCGATCCGGACTAAACTTGGCACACATACACTACGGGGCGGGGCGCTTGTCACAGGCTACTTTTCGTCATCGATCGATATCGATTATCGATTTTTATCGATCTTTTGTAAAGTTGAGCTATGGGGTTGGGAGTTGGCACAGGGAGGTAGTCGAGCATGCTAATTACGAATACAACTTTGATTTTCAAAATCGCCCAACATTTTGATCGATTTTATCGATTTTTTTGCAGAATTTGAGCTAAGGGGCTGGGAATTCGAACAGGGATAAGTGAGCATACTGATAACTACATGGCACAGCGGGAATAGAGAGTTAAAGTTGGTATGTAGAAGTGGGCACAGGGAAAGGTTGTACAAGTATAGGGATGGGAGCTTTATCATAGTGTTTAGACAGAGCAGGGAGGAGCCGAGTAAGCCAGCTAGTATTGCATAAATTTCCCAGTGTTTTATTTTCTAAAATGCAATGTATTGCACTCTATAAACTCCCTCATCTTATCAGAGCTTTTCCAGTAGTATAAAATTTGGGCATGGCGAAAACAAATCAAATTTCTTTCAGTTATCACAAAAACAAATTTAGAAACTGGCTGGAGACTAAAATACTAAAAATACTAAAATACTAATACTAAGAAAAGGAAAAGCTGCGTCGAATAGAGCTGGAAAAGTTTGTCTACCTTTATTTTACATGTTTTTATGATAGTCGAAAAAAGGACAGAACTCCGAGAACGACCTAGAAAACCTAGGCTGGCTTGAAATGAAAACAAAACTATCATCAAAGAGTTCATGTCATGACTTGTATTGTTCAACTTACAAGGAAATTGTATATGAATTTCTCGATATATCGATTTGCAGAAGACTGGCAGAACTTTAAATGTTCATTATCCCGTAAATATGACTCAAAATATACTCAGTAGCCTCTAAGATAACAGAAAATAATACAGGTCTGCAAATAAAATTGGCCTCTATAAATACTGGCAAGAAAAGAACCGAAGCATCAAATGAGAACACAATGAAAATAGACGTATAAGAACGATATATAAGAAACACCTTAAAATCTGTTAAAGTCACGAGCCAGGTTGGAGCTTATAGTACTGATCCGTCACAGGGTTGTAATAACAATCGAAGTCAGAATCGTATACCAATCCATCCAGGCGGTCGTCATGTGATTCTCGAGACGAAGACGATTTCATCTTTTCGTGACGAAAACCAGCCAGGCGCGATTCCCTTGATCAGCATAGTTTCATCACATTTTGGTGCGGATTTGATTTATAGTTCGCGAAAAGAGATTGCTGCGATTAAAAAACGATTAACCCCCCCCCCCCACCCCAAGAAATCAGTCTATACAGCACAGCAGTTTCATGATGCTTTTTCAAATCCTATTCTTTGATTGAAAAGTAGATACGAGGGCAAACATGAACGAAAAGAACTTTGAACTCACATATCGCGCACGTGACTGTGCCGAGCACCAGCTGACAACGCTCGGGGTTTCTGGAAGGTTGGAGTTACAAAGAGCAAATCTTGGGTTTTGACCCTACTCGCACCTTCATGAACATTTCCTGCATGATTTTACTGGTCACAGGTGCACAAAAGTGTATCTGCCTACCAGTGGCGGTCCCAGGATTTCCGTCCAGGGGGGGGGAGGGCGGCAAAAAAAATTTCAAATAAAGGTGCGTAGCCTCAGCTACGCACTCCGAAAAAATTTTGGGAGTGCTTTTCAAAATTTTTGCGGGTCCCCAACCCACGTCACCGAAAAAATTTTATAGGGCTAATTTAAATTTTTGAAAATTTTTAAAAGTTATTTTAATTGTTTACAAGAATAAACAAGTCACCTGCACATTTTTATAAACCACGTAGGTAAATTTCAAAAATTTCCCCCCGCACCCCTCCTCGGTCCGCCACTGCTGCCTACTATTCTTCAATAACCCATCTCCAAGCATAAAAGTCCGAAAAGTATTCAGGATGTATCGAAAGCGGCAGAACGCTAACTTTCACGTTGAAACTAACCGCTCTCTTTCAAAAGTATAAAGCTATTGAAATTCCTTACTTGTCCTTTTTTAAGGATCATATACAAAAGTTCCGAAAAATCGATATTTATTTCAACCACGTGTCAATTATTCTATTATGCATATAGTGTTTTCGTAATCTCAATATATATAAAGCAGAAAATTTGTATGTTTGTGCATATTCCCCATAGTCAGGAAGGATGACCGGGGTGGAACCTGGGATGCCAGCTCGTCTATATATGAAAGAGATTCGAAAGCAATAACTCTTGATGGAAACGTCAGATCAACGCAAATTAGTTGATCAGTAGTACAAGCACTTAGAAGCATTGAACAATCTCCTCGGACCTTTCCGCCTTTTTTTCCAAAATAGAAATTAGAAGCATTGAACAATCTCCTCGGACCTTTCCGCCTTTTTTTCCAAAATAGAAATAAATTCGACTTGTTTGCACCTTTTTATGTGCATCTACACTCGCAAATTCCCAACAGTAAAAACTGCAGTGCGAGCCTCTAGGAAGTTTATATAACCTCCAAAGTTTATATAACCTCCACCACCAAGTTTTAGTTGTCTCCTCCAGTATATGTTAATTCAAACGAAATCGTTAAGAATAGAGGACTTGGTGGGTTTTCAAATAGAAAATCGAATACATAATGCGAGAAGTTCGTCAAAAAGCTTCACGTATCATAGCGAAAGAGGCAGCCCTACGAATGTCATGTGAGAGTATCTTATGTATCTTCTTAGACCCTGGGCATACCTCACGGGAATTCAGTCGCGACGCGATTTGGTATTGGTAACAGTATTCCAATTGTTCATAACTCATCGTAAGGGTTTTTGAATACGAACGATACGGCATTTTATCAATCTACGAAAGTTATACATGCTGTGCTTTTAAGGGTCTGCCAGTACTGGATTTGAAAACATCTGGCAAACTACCAGATCGCGTGGCACCGAAGTCGCATGAGGTATGTCCGCGGCCTTAAGGTTATGGAAGAAGCGGAGGCTACAGCAGCATTTTCCAAAAACTTTCATTGGAAGCGAAGTTCATAGAGAGAACGGCAATTTTTATTGTGAAAATGGCCAGCATATTCGCAGTCTAAATCCTATTTGGATCAAAATCGGCCATATTTGGAATACTATCTACAGCAGACCTAAGAAGGGTTTTTATTCACATATGGACCAACGACTAGAACCTTTATAACTGCTGACAACATGCTTATTTACGTGTCGTCTTTTTTGTAAAGTATCAAGAAGTTTGAGCAATTCTAGTAACCTTTCAAAGAACTCAAGCAACGGAGATCTTTTATTGTGAGAAATTTGTCAAAGGACAAAATACTTACATTAACATCACTGTAGCCCTTCCATACGCTTTCAGTCGTTTGTTCGTTGTCGGACTGATCCTCGTACTCATGCTCACGGAGACGAGCAAGCCTGCTAGGAGTAGCATCCCAACTACGCAAGCTGAAAAAATGATTTAACAAGGCCGGAAACCTTATGAAGCCAACTACCTATCACCCGCTATGCTTCTCAACATGCTCAGCTCCGGATCATCATCACAGCGAAGGTTCGCGAACTTGCTTAAGCCTAAAAATCTTTGTTACATACTGGTTCAGAAGAAATATGTAGTAGTTGTTTATTTTGACATGTAAGGAAGTCTAGAGGCATGCCATCACTCAGCTCTCCCTCTCTGAAAAAGGTATTCATCCCGTCACCGTCCAACGATGATACATCATGAATAGAGCAGAAGAAGTTGGAGTGATTCAGCCTTTCTAAGAATTTCGCATAAAAGGTGACAGCTCACCTTCTTACCATTTTGCTCGAACCTGCTACCACTACGAGATATCATAACATGCACCCACCCTTCTTCCCCTTCCCCTCTTTCCTTTCAAAGCTCCTCAGCAGCTGTGTGCCTGATCGGCTATTACCTGCATTGGTGTACTTCATGACACAACAAAGTAGATAATAGTCAATCAGAGCTATTGATAAATGCTGAATTATCGGATCTCTAAACTCGCACAATTCGATAAGGTCAGTTTTGAATTTTTCAGCAGGATAGATATGATCTCTTATGATTAAAGAGTAACAGCGCTGCCCTCAGTTTTTTCACAGTGGTTGCTGTTAGTGCTGTTACTTAAGATGTACCGTCTATATACTAGCACTGCCTGTACCAAGAAAGTAAAGAGAATACCCGAGCACACTCTGAACTTTATTCTCAAAGCATTTCTTTGCAATCGTTCGAACTTGCCGAAAATTTCTGCAAGTTTTTTTTAGAAAAGAACCCACAAATTCAAATGCCATTTTTTGTCAACTTTTCTTCTATACAATCATTAACTTCGGCCCGAACTTAGTACGTTACAAAATCAAGACGATTTTCATAAAGTATTCTGATAGTGGAGCTGTATGTACTCTAATTTCACGAGTATAGGCGCGCCTTTTTCGATTTTTTAAACGAGCCGCTCAATTGCCTCGCGTGCTTCGGAAAACGAAACTTATGCGGCAGGGCACTCTCAGGCAATATGCAGCACCGTAATAGTTTTTTGGTCGCGAAGTCCTACGGCCTGTCTGAGCTGTTCGATTTAAAAAAAATCCCCCGCGTCCTATACTCGTGAAATTAGGGAAATTCGGAATTGTTTTATCACAAAAATGCATTACTTCTTCTTGCCGGTAAGCGCTTGAGAGATTGCGAGTTCGCTTAGTAGGATGCTGTTAGACTTCAGGTAAGGAGTTGAACCAGCCAAAGTTTTCCATTTATTCTCCTCCTATTCTACCTTAGCCGCCGAATTTTCAGAGATAGGAATTAGCCGACTGTTCGCGGGAAAGTTGAGGACAGAAAGCACTGTCTAATTTATAAATCAAGAAGGAATCTTTGTGACAATGGCACAAAGTTCTTCTTGCTGCTAATTTTTCTGGACAGAGAAAATCGAGAGTCTCTTGATGAGGACTTTAGACTCGCTGCACTCAAATATTCCAATGCAAGCACAAAAATCATAAGCCGCCAAGGTTGCTGTTTGACCGCAGCTCCTTCCGCAGGGCGTCGATTTTATGAGGCTCGCCATCTCAGAATGATGGGTTTGAAAGATGTTCAAGACATTACCCGAACAATATTGGTATTAGCAGTATCAAAACCTTGCCTCACTACAAGGTAAAAAATTCACTTCGTCAGAAAAGGCGGCATTTTTAGCTGCATTTTTGAAAAAAAATTTTGCAGGGAGCGGTCTAAAATCTCTACTTGTCCCCTTAACAGCCCCAGTAGATTTCTACATAACTACCACTTGCGCCAACAGGTCACCTTCCGAGTCGATTTAAATTTCTTAGGAACCAAAAAGATAAGTAGATAATATTACCTTCTCAACAAATTGCTCTTTCGAAAAGAATCATTTTGTTCAAAGTTACGGCAGTGTGAAAAAAAAGACCTGTAGATTTCGGGAAATTTCTTTGCAGCTCAATATGAAAACCACTTATTGATATATTTGACATAATTGTGAAAGTCAAAAGTCACGTTAGTACATCGTCTTCTAAACTCAAACCGCTTTTTTATTAAAACTGAAACTTTAGGACTAGAGCATAAGCTATTCCGATCAGGATATTTCTTGTCTTGATTAGAACATTATGCGAATAGAAGAGCACGGTCAAAAGAACAGCGTTTTCACCGCATGGAAATTCTCTCTGACATTTTACTATACATGCTGAAATGAGTACTTCACGGAGTGAGGGAGATCTGCGTGAATGACACAGGGCCTCTCTTTTCTTTCAGTTGAAGACCCAATGCTAATGCAAATCGTAAAGCAATCAGAAAGGGGAGGCAAGAGGGGTTTGTAACCTCAAACTGTCGAAGAATTTGCCACCCACTCAGATCTTCCTTGTTAGAACTATCAGGGTTGAGAACTTTCTCCTTCCTCGTCTTCGCAGTGACATCTGCTTTTGAGTTTTGTGTTGAGCCTGGAATAAGGTGGTGCAAGTGGTGATAATTCAGGAGCTTAACGATCATTGTAATCGAGTTCCTCTGTGAGTTACGGTATTGTACTCGTCAAATACTTATACTCTGCGGAGAACTGAAACCACGACTACATTCGATCAACATCGTTTTCCATGTGAATTTGGTTAAAGAATAATCAGATAAAATTAGTTGCACATACGTAGGTATTAGATGGGTGTGACGCTTGAGGGTAACTCTTGACTTATCTTGACTTCTAGCTTCAGCAGTACTCAAATATATCAACTTTCTTTGCTTTGTTCTTATGATTAGACACAGTGTCTCCGTACTGTGAGGGAGAAAAGCTGAATTTTGTCTATTGAAAATTATCAAGTTGAAACATAAGTCCTGTACCAAAAATTATGAAGATTTATTTCTAAAATCGGACCTTCTAAACTCTATAACACTTTCGTTGTATAAAGTACAACTGTATTTTATCATCATACTATCACATACTAACATTTTTCTAAACTTTCCAAATGGTTGGTTAAAAACTACAGCATTCCAAGACATTCAGTCACCAGAGTTGCCGTAAAACTCAAAAACGTAATCAAAATTATTGGAGCTTCTAGCATTTTTTTGCGGACAATTGAAAAAAAAAACAATACTATCTGAGCGCTCGTATTCATTAGCTTCCGCTGGCGAAATGACAACAATATTTTTGAGCACTTACGAAAAGAGATTGCCAACTTCTATCATTTTAACGAGTTTACTGGATTATAGCCTACAAATCTGCGAGAATCTTGGTGCAACTTGGCTTATGTTGATTAAATAGGTAATTGAATCGCTAAGGCTTATTGCAAATTTGCGCATTCAAAATTCGTCATTTTCTTACCTGCACTCTGACCGGTTTCCTCGACGAGTGGAAGAGTGTGCTCTGGCCTCCTAAACAGATCAAATTATGCGAAAAACAATAAGAGGATTTTTTAGGAGATAAGCCTAGTGTGAGCAGCCGTTATCCCTAAAATCCGTCGAAAGCATGCCTTAATCGATCGGTGCCACGTCCTGAACGTGATGCTGGAGCGGAGGAGCTTAGTCGGGCTTTGGTCATCTGTTGCTTGACATCAAAAATCTTCGCATTTGAATGATTGACACATGTCCTCAACGACAAAAGTGAACTCAAACAGAGACTAGTAAAATTTCTCAAAAAGTTCAGAAGATAATATGTACTGAAGCAGCTGAAAAGTAGGCAATAGCCCTGTTGCCTCGGCAACATAATTGCGCAATGTTATGACACACATAAGCTAAGGAAATGTTGCGAAATATTTGATTTCACCCTTTCAATAATAGCTTTGCTAGCTTTGCATCAGCAGAGGAAGTTTTTATATCCTTCATAGATACGGGAGTAGACGTGGCAAGTTCGAATAAATGGGATTTAATAGGTTGGTGCAAAAATAATAAGCGTTTTTAGGCTTGTTTCTGACAAATTTTTTCATCAAATTTTCTTCTTTGAAAAGAACAAGCAAACTATTGAAAAGCTGTTTTCATACTCTAATGGTTGCTGAATCGCGTTTCTAGCCTCATTTGCTAAAATTTTACAGTGCTCCAAACAACCGCACTTGAAACCAGTGGCCGTATTCATCAACAAACCCTTGAGGTTAAAAGTTACCTCAGCTAGCAGTTTTTAGTTTATAACCCGTATTCACAACATGATCGCAGTAAAATTTTCTCGTGGGTTAAGTCTACCTTGAGGTAGAAATGAACCTTCAAACGCATAAACCCGTATTCATCATTCTACCTTGAGGTTAAAATCTACCTCAATCATCATCTCTCCATCAACTTTCTATTATGCGTTCGAGGTAAAATCTAACCCTAGGATAGCTAGGGTTAAAATCTACCTTGACTTTTCACAAAACAGTTATACTCTTTTTAAGGACCTCCTTAATTCTAACGGAACCGTTTTTCCAAACACGAATATATTATACTCTTAATAGCTTGAATTTTGCTTGTTTATTTGGTTTTTTTTTCATCTAGTCATGGTGTTTTCAAGGAAAGTTATTCAATGATTATTAGTGGGCGAATCATCGAACCCATCGGTAATTTGTAATTCAAGCGAGCTCCTCCTCAAAATTCTTTGCAACTTGTGGCCGTCATCACAGATTCATAAGAATTATATTAGGTTGTCAAGAAAATAATGTCCGTTTTTATTTGCTTGCTTTAACAAAGCAACCAGACTCAACTCAACAAAGGGTAAGGGGTACTGTTCGATGGAGCAAAGCAAGCTTTACAAGATGGCACTCATGTTTTTGCGCCAGGCTCGATCCACGGAGAGTTCGAACTCAAAATCTAAAGATTTCCAAATGCCCAAAAAATCGAAAAAAATCAGATCTTTTTCCAAATAATTTCTACGGACCTCCCACTCGCTCACATCAATACTATCGATATCTGATATCTATATGTGCGATCGCCGTATTTTTTCCTTGACTAGAAACTGAGAAAACGAAAATTTCCCTGATTTTCTCAAAGCAAAGCTGAGCCGTTTTTGCATATGTAATTCTATACCACAAGCCTAGGTAAGCATAACTGTAGCTTTTCAGCCTACTTCGAGCGGTACTTTTCGAGAAATGTCGATTTTAGCACTGAAACTGAAACGAAAAAATCCGAATTCGTTAATTTTCGAAAACTACCGGTTGGAATGGGCTGAAAATCCACAGTTATACTTACCTACGCTTGTAGTATAGAACTACATATGCAAAAACGGCTCAGCATTGCTTTGAGAAAATCAGGGAAATTTTCGTTTTCTCAGTTTCTAGTCAAAGAAAAAATACGAAATCGCACATATGGATATCAGGTATCGATAGTATTGATGTGAGAGAGTGGGAGGTCCGTAGAAATTATTTGGACGAAGATCTGATTTTTTTCGATTTTTTGGGCATTTGGAAATCTTTAGATTTTGAGTTCGAACTCTCCGTGGATCGAGCACGGCGCAAAGACATGAGTGCCATCTTGTAGAGCTTGCTTTGCTCTATCGAACGGTACCCTTTACCCTTTGTTGGGTTGAGTGTAGTTGCTTTGTTAAAGCAAGCAAATAAAAACGGACATTATTTTCTTGACAACCTAATACTTTGCCTTTCTAAACTTTACGTCAAACATAACAAAGCTCTAAACTGTGCAATTATGTATATGGCAGAAACGGCACGCCCTTTACGTCTTAGTGTAAAGAACCTCTTAAAGGCAGGATAGATCACCTACACCCTCTCCATTGGATGCCCACAGAGTGCAAGATCATCAAGGAGTTGCTTTTGGTGTGAAACTTGCCTAGCGCGCAGAGCTCAAACATCCACTTGCAAACTTTAAAAGCCTTTTGAATTCATTTTAGAAGCTCCAAGATGATTCTCAAAAAAGAATGTCTCCATGTTAAGCGAAGACTCGCGCTATATCTGGATCAGATCTCCTACTGTGAAAACATGTTTAATTCCTTTTCAAGCGGTCACTAAGCGATCTCCCAGAACCTTACCCACAAACGAAGTGTGAGTACTGCGTGCAAACTGCTTATGATTTATGTAAAGCAAGGAATTCTGCTTGTAGGATTGAGGAGATGCCTGATCGGGTAGTTTTCCAATTGTTATTGCCCTTATTGCTGAAACGTTAGTCTAAATAGATAATTGCCAATCTCGGTCGCATCTAGAACTAAATCAATGCAGTATACATCCTACTGTAAAGTTTGATAAAGATACTGTTGAGATTGACTGGATGCAAACTTTGCAATCCCAAAAATTGTAATTTGAGAGATATACCATACCAACACATCGTTTCTCTCCTAGATAATGTGATGATGATATAATTCTTGAAATTTGAATCACTCAATCACACTTGCAGTATCTTCCGCAAACACTAAACTAGACGAAAAAGTGTCTCATGTTATGCTTCCCGTTCAATGAAGACGGCTTCAACCTTAGGAGATGAACTTTGATGAAGCAGATCCTCACGACATTCTCTTGAGAAGCTTTGACAGCTTTTACAGAGGCAAATCGTATATTGAGGACTACTAAAGTGGCTTTCTTCTGAATTTTGTTTTCTTGTCGGCACAGAGAAGTTGTATGGTTCAAATAGTTTTTCATCAAATTTTGATTTATGGGTTAGGAGATGTTGCAGCTGATGCGAGCAAAATTACTGGCGCAAATAATGACTACAAACGCCGCATAAATACAGAGCAGTTTCAATGCATGTTCACTCAAATCGTCAGTTCCATTCTTGCGAAGGCTTAAGCAAGATCTTTCGCGCGCAGAGGCACCATACGTCGCTTGTCTACAGAATTGTAGGTCGATTTGCGGTTTATATCGTGCAAATTCTAATCTACTTACACTCTGATAGTCAAGAAGCGTAGGCTTGTATCCAATGAAACTCAGTTGACACGCTCAATCATGAAGATGATTTCCTAGTCCCATAGACGTGCCATACTCCCCCAAAAGCGCTTAAAAGCGCCCAAACCCCTGAGCCCAAAAGCGCCAAAACGCAACTTTTAGCAGGCATTTCTAGAAACGCCAGCCAACGCTACAATTAATTTTGAACTGCGAAATAGGAACTCGTCATCTTTAAAAAACGTAGATTAAGAATCGCAATGATGACATCAAGCCAGGATGCAATCAATTTACAAGTTCTAGCATGTTATTTTAGAAAGTTTTTAAGTGCAAGCAGCAATTATGAACGATGTATCAAAGTAATTTGTAAAGGTATCTATCCTTTTAGCGGTCGAAAGACTACTGACTTAGAAAACGAAAGTCATGCAAATAGCGTTGGCTTATGTTTACAAAGCAAGAACACTTTTATGGTGAAGCTTGAGCCGACATTGAATGTAGTCGGAACATGTTTCATGATAAATGTGACTGAATGTAGTCGTTTTGGTATACATATTTCCAAAAATAACGCTTCACTGCAAAGTCAAGCTCGTAAAGGAAGCATTCTGGCGCTTCCGCGTTTTCGAGCGCTTTGAGAGCTGTTGGGCGAAGTATGAGTGGTTCCTAGGAACTGCGCACCGGAATGGAAGCGCTGGACTCTCTGGCGCTTTTCCGCGCTCTTGGGCGCTTTTGAGTGAAGTACGACGGGTCTCTTAGAATCCTTTTTCGCTAAAACACGGAAAATGGACCTATGGTATGTACGTTTGTACTAATTTAACAATTAAAAGTTTCACAAACAGCGAGGGACTCATACACCGCTAATACGTCATGGCATGCTCTGTATAAGCGTCAGTGAGCATTCAGCTGACCACCAGGTAGATTTTAACCTTAAGGTAGTTTTGTGAATAGCAAAGTTACCTTGAGGCTAAATTTTACCTTGAGGCATGCTCTCAAGGTAGAGTTTAACCTCAAGGTTCGTTGATGAATACGGCCACAGAATTTCATTGCATTCACTTTTCTGTCCAGGATTCAAGCGCTAATGACGTCATTCCTTTGAAATTCAGCTGCTGTATGTAATAGAAATGTCTGCATTGCACTTTACCACTTCCTACAAATTATAAACTAACTAGGGAAGGATACCAACATTAAGGTATATCAGTATAAGCGTCTTTGAACGCTGTTTCCAAATCTGCCTTCATTTTTTTGCGGAATAAGTTTCCGAAAGAAGTTGTGGGCGTTTGAATGTCCAAAATCTACAAAAACGCCGGAAAGTGGATAATCAGTTTTGTATTAAGTATAGTGTTTGCAAGGAAGGATCAAAGCCGGTGAAAATCGCATAGATAAAGTTTTAGAGCTTTTCGCTGATTTTAAGCCACTCAATGCTTGGCAAATTTGGACCTTCAAACACTTAACTTCTTTCGGAAACTTATTCCGTAAAAAAGGAAAGCAGATCTGGAATCAGCGTTCACTTATGCTTATATACATCTCATCTTCAGTCGCCGGCTTATGTTGGAATCCTTCCCATGTGAGAAATCGGCGCCTCAACATGGGTGGTTTTGATCGTTCTGCGGCTCAAAAAGTTTTTTGAAGAAAGCAACTTCCGAAGCTCTGCTCATTTTTCTAAGCGTGCGTTAGGCCTTCCTTTGAGTTCCTTGAATCGTTTCAGTACGAATCAACCTTTAATTTTAGCTCTTCAGTACGTAGAAAATTTAAAAAACCGCACAATTTGAGACTTTGGGGCCTACGAATAAATGTTGAAACAATCTGGCAATTATGGGCTTTCATTTTTTTTCCTTCGAAAATCTTCGTTGTCCAAGCATCCATCTTCTTTGATACTACTGCTTGCTGCTACAAGACAGGCTACATATCATTTATAATAACTAACTTCGAATTGTATGATCTGTTGAAAAAGAGGTCTCAGATGAACAAGAAAATCAAAGTTTCCCGTGTTTACAGTCTATTCCGTAAGGAGAGATACTAAGAATATTTTATAATAAATTGAAACAAGGAATGTACATCTGGTTTCGTTTGCAAGGAGCTATTTTCTTGTAGACGAAAAATGAGAAATTAACGAATGTGCGCGTCAGCGGCCATCTTTCTACAAAACGAATTTGAAAGCCCCTATAGCACAAAATTCAGTAAGTTTATGTCTATAACCTTTCCATGTGCCTTCCATACAAGCACCTATCCAAATCCGGTTGGTGGGATTATCTATCCTGATACTTTCCAAACTTTACTTTAGGCTATACCTTTTCATTCGCGCAATAGACTGCTGGCCACAGCTATACAGCCATCCTAGAAATCACTGTAATTTGCGCTGTCTTGAACGGAATTGTCTGAAAAACCACTAATTTGTGCGTAAGCCGACGCTGAAACTTTGGACCAGAAAGGCTTCCAATTTCATTGAACTTGGCCGATGAAGAATAAAAGAATTTGGAAAAACTTTGCTAAGGCTGGTTCCAGCTATAAGGCCACCTCCTATTTCCAAGTACAACTACATGTCTTGTACTTCAAAATTTTTGGGACAGCTATAACATCAAAAATACACAACTGCTACACCTGGGAGCTGTCGCCTTTTGCAAAGAAAAGTTATACCGTAATCTTTGCTTCAAATGGCATAAAAAAATCTTGTTTCAAAAAAATTGCTCGATTACAGAATTTTTGAGCGCTTATTTGACTTGAATGTAGGTCTGAAGATTCGCTAAGCCTTTTCGATGGATGCAGTAAAACGCTTCAGTAAGCCTTGCATATTTGCTGATTTTGGTGAACGAGTTTTCACCTTACGACGGAGTAGTCTAACTTTTGAAAAATAAAAGTCAATTTAGACGCCCCAAAACTCCTGATCTGGAGTTGACAACTTTTGCGACGACGTAACCATGCAAAAGTTCAAAATCTTTGCAGAGACCTAACTGCAACACAGGAGCTAGAAAGCTTTACCCTAGATTAGTTGTGCGCAGTGAATCTGACACAAATCTGAATTTTACTCATTTCAGACCTAATCAAATCAAATCTTACGGATGTAGAAACACTAGAATTAATAAGTTTTAAGCGCTTATTAGTCCGACAGAGTGGTCACAATGGGCTACAGTTACTCAGAGTGTACCTCTTCTTCAGGAAAAGCGAACAAGGCAGAACAATTCTCAAATTCTTGCGTCGATGTTCCGATGATGCGCAAGAGCTTATCTTATTGCTGTAAAGACAGCGTACTGAACAGATCTTGTAAAGACACAGCGTGCCGAGCAGATCACAGTGCTCTCCGAACACCAGAACACATTTTTTGCCATCCAAAAGCTCGTCCACCTAAAGATGAGGTCGTGATTCTTTTGTCAGCAGCAGCGATTATGCAAAGCTGACTCAAATTTTCTTCACTGCATTCATTGCGAAATCTCAGCCGAATCTTTAGACTTCCAACTGAATACATGGAACCCTTGAAGATCCTAAAATCTTTTGGAAACAATTCGACTCTTTTTGTATCTTCTAACAAAAAATGCAGTACAGGTTTCTTTTCAGAAGGCGACAGCTCTAACAAATGCTTCGTATTTCAATACTTAGCCGTGCAAAAAATTTCAGTTCTAAAAAATGCAGTAGTTTGGGAAAAGTAATAATGTAATAGCACGTGATGGCCTTATAGCTGTGAACGGCGTGATGGCCAGCACTGCCATCAAATTTCCGGGTATGCGACGTGCATATGCCTTACTTGCATTTCCAATGATTTTTTCTACACAATGTAAAAAACATTTTTGAAGTATGTTGTAGCCGAATGTTTGCTCTATCATCTACTATATCTTCTACGGAAGAAGCAATCACGGGGCGTAGTTCATCACAAATACTTGTATGTATGACAACTGCGCACGCCAAGATTTGGAAGGGCTTCGTAAAAGCCAAGAGAGGCTACTTTGAAGACTGGTAGATTACTTGTGTTTGATATGCGTGCATAAAAAACTTTTCTCTAGGTATCACTTCTCTTTTAATTTTGATGGAAAAATACTAAGATCCCTTACTTTTGATGCAGCCTTCGATCCTAGGGTGACGCGCGAGGCAGGCTTCTGTAAGATACAGGAAACAGACTATTGTTGAGCACTGCATCATCATGACTACACGAGGATGGTGAAGCGAATTGAGGGCTAGTTTGTGAATTTACAATGTTGCCAGTCTTCTGTGAGTGCTAATCTAAAAGTTGTTTACATAATGATGAATCAAATGGTAATGAAACAAGTAGAAAAACGAATAGAACAACATGCGCAAAGCTTTAGCATTGGGTATCACAAGTATCATATCCAAAAGCTTTGGACCCTTGCAAATTAGATAAGTTTTCCTTCTAAACGAAAAATAGTTAAAAATGGAAAAAAAATTGAAAACTCCCTGTAAAGTGCCTTGATCCCACAATCAGCAACATCCTCGTCGCTCGCTTCAAATTGATACCGCTGAGGTCTGCTAAGGCGCGACAATTTCGCTCAGGGAGTATGCCTGACCACAGTATTAATCTTTGTCGGACAAATGGCAAAACCGACCTGGGTACGTCATGCGACGATCTTGTAACGGTGTTTTTGAACAAAAACACGCGGAGATGGATTTATATACGTGTGTCTTGTCTAAACCTTTTGGAACCCTCGTCTGTTTTATTATGAGATACCCATGCTTAATTTAGCACATTGCGCTCAAAAATGATGAAGCAGAGGACTCCTAGGGCCCCTCCCCCCTCCCCTCCAGTAAGGCCCGCCCACCCGTGCTCGCTTTCGAATCACCGATCGAGAACGCCGGCGGAACGAAGGTTTTGTTGGTTTTCGCGGCTTCTCAATCTTCCTGGAACCAGGAACGTGGGAAGACCCCGTAAAAGAAAAACATAAGTCGAGATTGCTCTGAAGGTGCCTTGAAGTGAGTGTCAGCCGTGTCACTATCAGTTTGAATATTTGCCATACTCTGTTATCAAAAAATGCAATTCAATTACTGACGTACCATCATTCACATTCGTCTCTTGTCTAGGTCAGTCTTGAAGCTTGAACAAGAAGAATGCTTTTCTGTTATGTGAAAAGTAATTTTCAGCTTGTACTAACTAAGCTTGATTATGGCGAAAAAACCTACTCGGCGAGATACTCCTGAAGCTGTTTGCTACTGCAGGTAGAATACTACAACACGCCCATAATATGTGCAAAAAAAATTAGCCTAGCATGGTCTACTGGTCTTCTTTAAGGACAATTTGTGAATCCAAAGATACCATTCGATTCAGGTCCTTCATAGAAGTGCTTGCCTGATTATGGCAGACTAAATTCTAAATTTTTCTGAATTTACGCTGATTTTAGACGCACTTGCGCCAGAAATCAGCACACTGAGAAATCTGCACGATACCATACACAGAGCAGTTGTATACCGTGCAACGAGCTGAGTGCATGTGCCTTTAGATTCAGCATTAGTCCATTCTAAAACGAGCTGGCGATGCGACTTCAGCGTTGCTGACTCAGGTGACGTTGCGTCTTCTTTGCATAAATTATGAGAGTGGCGGACAAGTTAGAGTCGAGTAGATTTCCCGCTTAATATACATAGTGTGCTTGCACAGAAGGTGAAATGCACTAAAATCTGCGCGTGAGGAAATAGCTTCGACTGTTACGCCGGCCGATTGCGCGCGCAAAATGCCGGCATTGCTGATGCAGCTACCTGTTCACGCACAAATTTTACAGCATATCATAAACTGTGCGGGCACACTATATTAAGCGGAAAACCCACTCGACTGTAGGCATGTTACATGCAGATCAGCCTTTGCTGCACAGGTGAAGTCACCTTCCACAACCTGTTAAAGTCATTTTGAGAAAATTTTTTGCGGCGTGGTTACCCGTTTGTCGCGCTTAGCATCGGAATTCTCGAATGGTACACACAACTACTAGCAAGCCCTCTGGAGTACTCCCGCTGCTCTAGCCTTGGCCATACTTCACTTCGAGCCTCCTGGGTTTTGTGGGATCCCGATCCTTAAAGGCAATGTTCGGACAAAATGAGGGTTTCGGAATTTCAGCGCCATGCGAAAGTGGTCCCCTCGGACACAGCATCGCGCAAGCGCGAGATCAAAATGTTCGACCTAAGTTAAGAAAAAGGATTGGAAAGTCGGGAAATTTACGTCTCGGGGCGGGGCCCTCCGAGATGTTCGAATTCCTGCTATGCGGCAAAGTACGCATGCCGCCACAGTAACTGTAGGGTCCCGCAGCGACTCTGCGCCCCTGCATTGGCGGGGACCGTCGAATTTCTGTGAGGTCCTGGGAAACGCATGTTCTCGTCCTTTTCGCGCCCTCTGAAAGGGATTTTCGGATTCAGCGTTGCGAATAACCCCCAGTAAGTAAGTTTTCTAAAAATCGAGTTTTTGCCCGGACACTGCCTTTAACGACTAACGCTTTTTTCAGTTATTTTTTGGTTTAAAGTGGGCGCAGGGCGTACGGCGGCAAACGCAATTTTTCTCGACTCTAGAAACCACATGCAAAACGACTCCAGCGGCAAAAACAGGGGGGGGGAGGGGAGGGTGGGTGGTCTTGCTCAGATAATCGCCGGGGGCAGGCGGCCACACGATTTATGGGCGCTCAGACAATCGCTGGGGGCAGGCGGGCACCGGAAAAATAGATTGCTGATTTCTCGCACCTCGCTCGCGGATTTTTTGGAAAGCACTCAGGACTTTTTGGAAGACCGCTCGCTGAGTCAGCGATTTTTGAGAGACCGCCTGTTAAATTTTTTTCGCTCTTCTTTTGCAGATATATTGCTGAATCTCTGGGGAATCGAGAACTCAGCAAGCGGTCTTCCGAAAAGTCCTGATTGCTTCAGTATTTGTTCTGTGCCGTACAGGTTTTTTATAGTAATACACTTTATTGTCTTACGTTTCGGCTACACGCCGTCATCAGAGGCCTGAAAGGTGTCAGTCACATGGATGTCTGCTCTTGACCGCCAAACACCTCTTCCCACTTGCGTATTCGATTCATCTAGTGTGGAAGAAGGAGGTTGGGCCATGACTTTCACTCACCAGTGTATTACCGATATTGCAGTGTGCAACCGCTTTAGACGAGCCCGTTCGACTGTGGTGACACAAGAATGAGTAGTGTGTATGTCACATAACTGTTTATATACGCTCAGACGATCTATAGCTCGCAAAACGGAAGATACGGCATGAGATCAGCGGTAATGGATAACTGTTCATTCTTGCTGTTCATTTTGGGATCACGCGTAAGAATGAAAGACGCTTCCAAAGCCTTTCGCGCAGCTATTTGACTTTCATAGGCTAGTATTGTGCACCTTATATCGTAATCCGTTCCTTCGTGCTCTACCTTTCTGTGTTTACCTAGTGGGCTCATCATGCTCTGTTTTCTTTTGCCAGTTAGATGTTCATTCAAACGTACGCCCAATGGTCGGCCGGTCTCACCAATGTAATTGGCGGAACATTTTAAACAATGGATTTCGTAAACGACACCACATTTTGTGCAATCTCCGATTTTTCCGTATGGGCAGATCGCGCAATCTCGTAAGTTACAAGCTTTGTCGTATAGTCTATTGTGGACTAGTTGTTTCTTTATGTTGTCGCGAGGAATATGCACTAGAATAACGTCATCCTCGAGATTCGCTTGTATCAGGCATCGCTTGATCGCCATAGTGACTTTTTCAGAGATAAAGGGCAGGCATAAAGGTACCTTGTTGGTGACCTATTAAGCTATAGAAAATTGTTGCATTGTCACGACAACACAGTCCGAGATGGACGAGTGTTTTAAAATACTCAATCAACAGTCTAAGTACATAAGTTTAACAAGAGAGAAACCTCGAAACGGTTGGTTGGCCTACTTGAACATGCAGATGACGTTTGTAGATGGCTCAGTATGCACCAAATGGTACCGCAAAGAAAGTAGCAAAAACATAATCTTGCACGCTCAATCCGCTCACGCACTAGCCGTTAAACGTGCCGTAATTCGCAATATGTTGAAAACGGCAGCGAAGAGCAGTACTGGTGAGATTGAGAAGCATGAATCACTGAAACTGGCGGCCGATATAATGTTATCCAATGGTCATACAACACGACCCAGACGAAACAAAAAGGCAACAGCGCAACTAAAAGATCAGGTCACCAACAAGGTACCTTTATGCCTGCCCTTTATCTCTGAAAAAGTCACTATGGCGATCAAGCGATGCCAGTACTCTGCGTTGATACCACTGCTTTCTAGTGCATATTCCCTCGCGACAACATAAAGAAACAACTAGTCCGCAATAGACTATACGACAAAGCTTGTAACTTACGAGATTGCGCGATCTGCCCATACGGAAAAATCGGAGATTGCACAAAATGTGGTGTCGTTTACGAAATCCATTGTTTAAAATGTTAGTACTCTGCGTTGATACCACTGCT